AAAGATTGTAAGAGGCAAGGTTGTAGACCAATATAAGGAAACTGTATTGTGTAAATGCCACAAGGCAGTTGCACATATGAACCCATACCACTTATGAGAGCATATATAATCATAGAAGGGTATTATTAAGGGAGAAATGGGAAAAATGGGGGCACCTTAAATGGGGAAACCATGGTGGAAGGGTTAGACAATGCGAGAGATAAATAATGCCTAGCAAGTTTTTAAAAAACAGAGGGAACCGTATTAGTCCAACTACCTACTGACAAATTATACATACAACTAGATAAAGGAATATACTATATGTCTAGACAAGGTTTATCTGAGAACTTTTGGTCTTTGCCTAAGCTTTATTTACATGGCACATGATAATTAAAAGTACCAGACTGGTGGAACTAACATTTTTGGATGTTTAACAGCCAAACTTTGAGGCCTATACTTATTTGGTCAAAGGGACATAAAGAACAGTTTTTGCTCCTTGCCCTCCTATGTCAACTAAATTCCAGGGGACTATGAGCATTTCTCAAAATGTCCTGTAACAGTGGTGAGTCACCTGTCCTCTTGATCAAGGAGGCCATGGAGACCCCACCAGATGGACTTGAACCAGTGTCCAGTCTACAAAAAGGAGGGTCAACACAGAGGAAGCATTTCCTCCATGCTTCCAAACAAAGTCAGCCACAGTCGAGTAGGACCTTTGACTTATCTTAACATAGACAGAACTGGTAAAAGAAGTCAGGGTCTCCTCCCAAGTCCATGTGATCCCTGAGGAACAGATCTTCAGATGGCTTTAAAAAGAAAAATAAATTTGTTTATCTGGGCCAACTGTAGGCCAGGTGGCCCAAAGGACTCCCAGACAATAACCCAACAAAGAACTGGGAAAATGAACAGCAGACCCAAATCTTATCTAAAGGAATATTGACAACTGATTGCTTCTAGGTGAGGAAGAACGGATCTTCCTAAAACAAGCATGTCTAGATAGACTGACTAGATTCAGTGGGTGGACAAGCACTGGGGAAAGGCTGGGGGTACTGAAAACACAGTGGACAATAACAGGGTTGACAGAGTATATGGGCTTCAGTGAGGGAGGCTATGGGAGGGTGCCATTTTGGAAGTGGGTATATAAATGAGTAAGATTGTTCAGGATGTTCTGTTTGATATACATACCAAAAAAATTCAAGAAATTTGAAAAATGAGTGATATTTGAGGAGGAAGCATAAAATTTGCTTCATGTTAATTAGTAGAGTGATAAACATTATCATTAAAATCTACCTGATGACTTTATATCCACACTCAGGTGCCAAGGATGTGAGTGTAACTAACTGGGACTAGTAATGATCAGATACGTAGAGGTTAGAGATGTATGTGCAAATATCTAAGTAGTAGCATTAAAAATTAGTCTTTCTTTGGGAAACAGTATATTTTCAAATGAAATGGAGATCTTTTTTAAAGGTTATAAGCCCATTCAATTTTATGTCTTACAGGGTTTATACTGAGTTCAATATTGTATAACTGTATTAATTCAACTGTGAACCTAAAAAATTACAGCCACTTTTGAAAGAGATGTACCTTTGCTCTGGAAAATTGTTATTGAATATTTTAAAGCTATAATGAAATGCTGCTTCTAATCATGTAGTTATTAAATAAATTTAAAAAACATTTAAAAAAAAACATAGTATATATAGAACCTGAGCAGATCCAAGCCAGACAGGCTTCCAGCATGGATTGGAGAGGGGGGCAGGAAGCCCTAGCTATAGCTGGAAATTCTATTGGCAATTTATAGTTACTGGGAGAAAGACAGTCAGTTTTCCCTACTTGTGTGACTCATGGTATGTTAATCAGACTCCAAGAGATAGAACCATACCCAAGAGCACTTGGGAAACGGATTAGATAATAGACTTCTAAAATTTTTTAATGATATGCTAATAAAGGACACCAAGCCTGGGAATAGTAAGGTGGGGTTCTACAGGGGTTAAGGGTTCTGAATACCATCAAAATACATTTTAAGAAATTCTTCAGTCAAGAAAAATATTAAATTTAAAATACAGCACGTGAAATTGGGAGGATACAGGTGTATAATTGGAGGAGAGGGAATCAAGTCTATTTAATCAAAACACATTATATGCCTGCATAAAATTCTCAAACATTAAAACAGTAAAATTTTAGCAAAAAAAAAATTTTTACCAGGATTTAAAGTGTATTTTTTGTGCTAGAAGGAAGAGTGATTGGAATGTGAGAAAGGTAGCAGACCTTCCTACCTTTGGGAGTCCTGTTGGAACTGGTTGTTCTCTCAAAAATACCAAACAAATAGTGCCCAGAAGTAAGTTCTGTCCAAAGTTGAAAACAAAATAATGAAAGTTATATCACATTAATTACAAAATGTTGATTCTGGAAGAAATATTTTCCTTCATTTAAAACAGTCTTTACTAATGATGGATTTGAAAGAAACTTTTTTTTTAATGGTTAAAATCATAAATTTTAGATTTCTCTTTTTTGAAGATAACTTTACAGTTAGTTTATATGAAATCAGCAGCAAAAGAAGTTAGTTTTAATTATGCAGCTTCTGTTAACATGGAGTTTTGTTTTGTTTTGTCGTTTTGGGTTTTTTTTTTTTCCTGTTTCACCTCAATTTGGATGAATAGGAGACATTTGTGTGCATGCTGGACATGCCTTGCTGTACACGCATAGCCTGCCAGTGCTGTCTAGGAGGTTCCAGTGTGGGGCCCTCCAAGTCACCTTCAAATTCTTACGCATTCCTAAATCATGTCAAATACTCCAGTCTCATGAGTCCTGGGCCTGTGACAGAATATCCACTGCATTGTAGACTTTTCCTTGCAGATGAATGGATGTACACTTGACCATTGACAATAATTTTAAATATGGGGGTAGAAAACAAGGAAGAATTGGATGGACTCTAAAATAAATGAAAGAGCATTTATCATTTGTACCTTGAATGTAGTATTTGTTTTTATTTCATAGTTCTGCTACAAAACATGACAGTTAAAATGATGTATTTATATATGTGATAATTTAGAAATTCCATTTAATAGTTTTCATATTCTAAAGTGAAATAATACATGTAATAATTTAGGAGTTGAGACATTGTGCTGCTGGAGGTACCAAGTTTGAGTCCTTCAAAAGTGAAAAAAAATACTATTTTTTAAAAAGATCTGATTTTTAGCTCTTGAAAACCATTGTTTCTTATGTTTCCAATGCCAATTAAAATTCTTTTATTTTTAAATTAAAATCACCAATACATTGAGGAATTTCTTAGCAAATGTGGTATTGGGTGTTAACTTTTACAGTTCTGAGGACTGTTGGTATCTGGCAAGTGTTTGAAAGATTAGTGGAAAGCTAAATATCCTAAATTGACATGCATATACTTCTTTTTGATTAAGAAAATAAAATTAGATTTTTCAAAGTAAAAAAAAAACATTGCAAACATATCATGATTTATTTATATATGTTAATATGCAATAAAACAAAGAAATTTTACTCTTATAGAATATGATGAAAGGTAAACATTGCAGGATAGGTTGGAGGGGAAGGAAATAGGAGGGAGGATACAATTACCGCATAAAATATCACAGTAAGATCCATTCATTTGTGCTTCTGGGCTCTATACAATAGTCAATGCATATGTACACACATGCGCACACACACACACACACACATAAATAAATTAAAATTTTTTTAAAGTAAAGCAAAAGTGTAAGGGTTCACTGCTAAAGAATCTTTTTTCAGTTTACATTTTTTATTGAATTTTTGTGCACTTCATATTAAATCATCTTTACACCCTCTGCCTCATCCACACAACCCCAATACAATAGTCAATGCATATGTACACACATGCGCACACACACACACACACACATAAATAAATTAAAATTTTTTTAAAGTAAAGCAAAAGTGTAAGGGTTCACTGCTAAAGAATCTTTTTTCAGTTTACATTTTTTATTGAATTTTTGTGCACTTCATATTAAATCATCTTTACACCCTCTGCCTCATCCACACAACCCCATACCCTTCAGTTCAAGCTCCCTCAGTGCAAGTTCATCCACTGGCTTCTAGTCAGCCTATATAGAGTCTCTCCCTTAAAGAACATCAACTCATTGTCAACCGGCCGTAATCAGCTGCCAATCGTTCCTCTGCTAAAGTTGAGGCTTGCTGTCCATTTCCCCAGTTCTATGCTGGGGTTTTGTCTGATTGAGTCTGCATGGGTTTTGCACATGGTGGCACTACAGCTGTAAATTCATATGAGCAAATTCTGAAGAGCCTGTAAGACTGTGTTTCCTCATGATCATGCACCAACCGGCTCTTACAACCTTTCTGCTCCCTCTTCTGCAATGGTCCCTGAGCTGTGGGCAGGTGAGGTTAAATATAGGAGTCCTACCCAGACACAGGCCCTCAGCAGTCTCTTATTCTCTACACTTTGGCCAGTTATGCCTTTTTGTGTATGTAGTACTCTGTTGCATGAAGAAACTTGCTGGAGAGAGTTGAGAGATGCATTAACACCATCTACCCGTGTTCCACAAATTTCATGATGTACATTAAAAAAGAAAGAAATTCAGCACAAATCCTGCCTAGCATATTCAATTGCAGCCCACTACATATGCACTCCTTTTATTCTTTATAAATTCTTACTTTCACTTGTTAATTCCTCAAGTTTTACACGTTTTGGGGGGTGTGAGGTGAAAGGTTTCTGAGTGGTTCACGGTGCTGGTACTTGAATAAATCTGATGTCCTTCCCACTAACTCTCCTCAGCCATGTTGACTTTGGAACAAAAACAGAGGTGCTTTGTCCAGAAAGCATGCTACCCTCCAGAAGAAGCCTCTCCATCCAGAACAGTTAAAACATTCATTTAAAATCATGAGTGACTAATTTAACTAATTGCAAGTGTGATTTAAAAATAATTAATAGGATGCAACAGAGAGTGTATTTTCTTCCCATGGGTCAGGCTGTGGGTTGAGTCTCCAACATTACAAAATTAAAGAAATAGGAAGACATGCAACTCTTGAGGGGAATAGGTTTTTTCCATGAAAGCATGCTCTTACTTAGTGCCACAGTGGGAGCAGGGATCTTTGTGTCCCCTAAAGCAGTTTTACAATACTCAGCACTGAACATCCCTATCTCCCCGAGTATTTGGGCAGCTTGTGCCCTGCTGAGCATGATGAATGCTCTCTGTCTTGCTACCTTCCCTGTGAGTGCAGCATCTTATTATTTTGTGAAGAGATCTCTTGGATCCTGTACTGGTTTCCTTAAACTTTGGATAAGTATATTTTCTTATGCCATAGGACTTGGTACTCAAAGCTTATTAATAGCTGGTTATCTAATTGAACCTTTCTATGCTGGGTGCCCAGCTCCAGAGCTACCAAAGAAATGTCTGGCTTTAGCTACTTTGTGGTCATTGGGAATTGTGAGTGCTCAAGGAGTGACCACAGTTTCTTGGTTCAACACTATCTGCAGCTTGATGAAGATGGCTGCTCTTTGTTTCAGTTCTGTAACTGGTATGGTGCTGTTAGTGATTGGGAAAAGGGAGAATGTGGCCAGGTTTGAGAATGCTTTGGATGCTGAACTTCCCGATGCCTCACAGCTTGCAGAAGCGCTTCTCCAAGGGTCTTATGCATATGCCGGATCATCACTCCTGTTAAACATAGCAGGCAATGTATGCATAAAAATGTTTGGCAGCATGCATAAAGGATTGTATGAAATTTTTGTGGAAGATGACTGTGACCGATTCATATTTTGTACTTAATCTCTGTATTATATGCTTATCATTAAAATTCCATGTATAATCATTCATGTAGACTGCACATATATTTTCTTCAGATCATGTCTCATATAAATATTGAGAATACAAATTTTCAAAATGAATTAGCATTTTCTGCACTCTGATTTCATTGCATTTGGTTCCAACATTTTGATATATTTTCAATGAATTAATTGCATAACAAATACAAAAATAGACTCATTTTTTGAGTCATCATAGATGTAAGAGTTTTATGTCATTTCCACTACTCATAAAATTAGAAAATATTAAAGACATTTCCTTTTTATGATTCATTTTAGCACTTCCTTGCCTGTTTGGGATCTTTTCATTCGTTACTCAGTTTGTTGGTTCTTATTCTCTAAGGTCCTCCAGTGCAGTTTAAATACATGTCTTTATCTTGCTATGCTTACATTAAATTTTTTTCACAATTTTATCTTTTACTTTGATATTCCCCTGGGTTGATACTGTTTCAATATTTTCAAGGTATTTATTGCTTCTGTCATCCATTCTTAGACACTAGACCGCTGTGATGCACTCTCAAAAATTTCAGTATAAGGAGATTGATCAAAAATTCACTTTTTTCCTAAAATTAAATGTTTTAAACTAATTAACTCTTAAGTCTGAAGCATTTTAAAATGCTGGGTTTCCATTGTTTGTAAGTGATTTCCTTTATGTGCCAATAACCGATCACATTAGGGGAATAACTATTTTCTAGAGTTCCTCTTTTCTTATCTATCAATTCTGCTTCCTCTGTTTGTCATGGAGTCTTCAGTATGCTCCTACGGTTCCATCAATTATATTTCATTAAACACACATGCTGAGTGCCTGTTATGCACCAACCTCTGACCTGGCATTGTTCTGGAGATTGGAGGCACAAAACTGAACAAGCCCATCTTTATGGACCTTACACTGTACTATATAGCTGTGATTCTTTACTCTTTTTCTAATCATACAGAATAAAAATCCTTGGAAGATCACCTGCATTGTGCTTGAGAATTGGGTTTTCATATATTTTCCTCTTCCCTGCTTGTTCATTGTAGCTTCTGCACCCTTTCAGGAAAACCGATCTGAAAACACTCTAAGCTACAGATTTTGTTTCTGTTCAATTTTAATATTAATTATATTTATTTATTTAATTTATTTATTTACAAGTATATGAGTGTTATGCCTACATGTATGTATGTGCATCCCTGTGTGCAATGCCCATAAAGGCCAGAGGAGGGTGTTGGATCCCCCTGGAACTGGAGTTACATACAGTTATAAATGCACAACCAATTTGAATAGTGTTCACTAAAGATGAAGATGTCCGCTACAGTTGAAGTGGTTTACTCTTTAGGTTTATTTTTTATATTCTTTTATTTTATTTATTTATTTATTTATTCACTATTGTATGACTGTTATGCCTGCATCTATGTATGTGCACCCATGTGTTCAATGCCCATAGAGGCCAGAGGAGTGTGTTGGATCCCCCTGGAACTGGAGTTACAGTTATAAGCTGCCATGTGAGTTCTGGAAACCAAACTGGGGCCCTGTGAAAGAGCAGTCAGTGCTCTTAACTGCTGAGCCATTTCTCCAGTCCTCTCTTCAAGTATGACTGTTATGCCTGCATCTATGTATGTGCACCCATGTGTTCAATGCCCATAGAGGCCAGAGGAGTGTGTTGGATCCCCCTGGAACTGGAGTTACAGTTATAAGCTGCCATGTGAGTTCTGGAAACCAAACTGGGGCCCTGTGAAAGAGCAGTCAGTGCTCTTAACTGCTGAGCCATTTCTCCAGTCCTCTCTTCAAATTTTAATCTATTTATCAATATTCACATATTTACCTATGGGTTCTCTTATTTTTAAGAGTAAATCAGTATATTTTATACTATATGACTTTCAGGAATCTGAAATTGATTGAGTGTATGCATAATCTTTAACTATCCATAAAAGCCACATTCTTTTCCAAGTTTTGTGACATTTTGCACTTAAGGCAGATATTGAAATAGCACACAAATATATGTGGAGAGAGAGAAAAAGAGAGAGAGAGAGAACTGAAACTTTTCTTTCTTAACACTGTTAAAAATAAGGTTTTTAAAATCTTATGTACATATTTCTTATAGATGCATAAATCTTATTTTACTCTGCTTTTGTTGTAATTTATCAGAAACATTTTTGCTGTCCATTATTTGGTTTATAAATGTATGTGAGCTCTTAATAAAGAGAAGTTGCATATATTTACTTATAAGATTTATTAAGAATCAGGGTTCTGCTTTTTTTCTTAATCCTAGCAACACACTCCTAACACAATAAAATAATAGTTTTAATAATTAATAGTAACAATAGCATTTTTCTCATAATATTTTCATGCTCTCACTACTTTACAGTTATTCTTCTTCAGGTCCTCTCTATGTGCTTCTTTCTTTATGATGGTCTGAAACACAGCCTGCCCTGAATGGTGCTCTGCACTTTTGTTAGAGCCAGAAGTACTTACATTTTCTGTAAGAGAATGTAATGTTTAAAAGTATGCTCTGTGTGGAAGTTCTTGCTAAAGAGAATTCTCTCTCTCAACTTTGCCTCTGACAATTTTTGATTGATCATGTGTCAACAAAATAGATGGAATACATTTAGACTGTTATGTTGAAGGGACAACATAAAATTCCAAGCACCGCTTGCCAACTGTAGATTCATAATTGTTATTGGGTCTCTGAGAATCACTGAGCCCATCTCAATAGTAGGTAGCCAATATTCAGAGGAGTTTTTAGGGACAGAGCTGTCATTGCCCAGTTTTTCTCATGCATCACTGGCAGGAATGAATGCTTCTGTTTCCATGATATGTTTAGGGAAGACTTCAACAAATTTACATTATATTTATTTCAGTGCAGAATTATAGAAAATGGCAACCCTTGGGGAAAAAATTGTACAAGAGAAAAAGCACAATCAGCCCAAGAAAAGAAAGAACAAAGATATTAGACTAATACTTTCTCTGCCTTTTTTTGCTTGTTTTTTTATTATTGATTTTTTTTGTGTTTTGTATGTATTTCATACAGAACATCTCAAACAATCTTAATCATCTTTATACCTGCATTTCCAATGGCACTTCCCATAGTTTCTCACCCTGCCCCCGACTGGAGCCTATATACTCTGTCATCCCTGCTACTGCCCACTATGTTGTCAGTGCCCCCAGGCTTTCCCCAGTGCAAGTCCATCCACTGAATCTAGTCAGCCTATCTAGAGTCCCTTGTTTCCGATCAGCTTTTCTTCATCTAGCAGCAGTCAGTTGCCAACATTCCTTTAGATAAGATTGGGGTCTGCTGTTCATTATCCCAGTTCTGTGCTGTGGTTACAGTCTGCCTCAGTTTGCATAGGACTTATGTATGCTGACACCTATGCCACAGAATCATATGAGCAGGTTCCCAGCAGTATGTAGGACTCTGTTTCCTTATGGTCATGCATCTCCTTCCTGGGTCTTACAATCTTTCTGCCCCTCTTCTGTGATTGCTCCTGAGCCTTGGGTAGATGAAGGTTAATAAAGGGGTCCTGTCCAAGTCCATTTTAGCAGACTCTTGATATCTACACTTTGCCCATTTGTGACCTTTTGTGTTTCTCGCCCTCCACTGCATAAGGGAACTTCATTATTGAGAATTGATTCATTGCTGTCCTCTTCTTATCCCTGGTCTATGTTTCATGAGCCTTATGTGTAGAGGTTGCATTGCAGATGTGTCCTTTAGGCCTGGGCAATTCATAGACACTGTCCATGTATAACCAGTTGTGGCACTTGGTATTAGTCTCTGACTACTGCAAAATGAGCTTCTTTGTTGAATGATGACTAGGATACTTGTCTATAAATATAAGGATATACATTTTACATATAGTAAGATATCACATTAGTCTAGTGATGTGAGAGTTTTGGGGTTTTTCTCTAAGACCTATCACCACTACCACTTTGACTAAGGCCATGTGTATTAAGTTATGTTGTAGTACCACACTTGAGTTTCCTCCCTTTGAGTGGTCTTAGTCAAATTAGATACCTGTTGATTGTCCCGAAGTAGGACAATCAGGAAACCAGGATGCCATGCCCTAGGGTGAGGTGAGCCTAAAACTTATAGGTCCAGGCTGCATTCTCTGCTAAAGGGAGGGGCACTGAAAACAGTGGCACTGATAATCCCTGTCCCGCAGAACACTGTAAGACTAGCAGGAGGAAGCAGCCCAGTCATAAAAGTGCAGGCTCCCTGCTCTGTGGGAAAGCCTCTTGGTCAACAACCCTTAGCTCATCTCCTTGTCCTGAACAAATAACTCAGCTATCCCTGACTAAGAGATTAGGCCAGGTTAAAGGTTTACTCCTGAGCTAAAAGCTAAAAGTTCACCATGCTTTTACCTTTAAGAAAGAAAACATTGTGGCCAATAAATTACTGGATGGACGTTGATAACCTTGAGATCTATACTTCTAGTGCCAACTAACAGACTAAATGTCCTGTTTCTTTGTACCCTAAATCTTTGTGTGTGACTGCCATATCCCACGTGACTGCTAGTTCCTTGGGATGTATAAAAACCATCTGAATTCTAAAATAAATCATCCTGTTGTGAAGACACAGGTCCCAGAGTTTGTGACTCTGTCGCTGATCAGACCCTCTGGCGGAAGCCAGCAGGTCCCCCGCTAAGCAAAGCAAACCTGAGTTCCAACAATGGTGTATGCTGTGATGGCCACTGGTGTAGTTATTTGGTCTTGAACCTGGTGTTGGATCATCCATTGATGTTTTCCCTTCACAGTTTCATGGCATTCTCCAAAGCTATGAGAGCTAACCTTCAGGGGAAGTGGCTGCCAGGTCAGTTGCAGCTCTATTGCTCCAAATCCAGTGTCTGACATATGCTCTGTCTGCAGCAGTAGGGTCTTACCTTCAAGTTCTGGGAG